TTTTTTTTTTTTTGGTACCAGGGATCGAACTCAGGACCTTGTGCTTGCAAGGCAGGTGGCGGAACCACTGAGCTAAATGCCTGGCCCTAAGGCTATCCTCTTGAAGGTTTCCAATATCTCATTTCATACAAGTTTTATTCTTTTCTGAATTTCCAGTAAAAACTGTTCTAGGGCTGGCGATGTAGCTCAGTGGTACCATTCATACCTGGCAAGCATAACATCCTGAGTTTGGTCCCTGGTAGTGATAGTAGTGGGGAGACAGACACAGTTCTAGCTGTGAGAGATGCAGCAATTGACAAATCAAATTCCAGCCCTCTGAACTAATTTCTAGATGGGATATTGGCAATAAACAAATATATAATATAAAGTCAGGTGGTGATAAATGTCATAAAAGAAATAAGCAGAGACAGGTGATAGTATGAAGAGGGATCATCTTTTAGATAAAAGGACCAGAAAAGCCTTTTGAGGACCAGAAAGGCAACATTTGGGCAGAGATGGGAATAGAATGAGGGAGTAAACCATGGGAGAAGAACCTTCCAGACAACACACCAAGCCCAAGTTTCTGGGGAGGGCACATGCTCTGCGGGTTGGAGGACCACCAAGGAGACCACTGTAGGACCCTGTAGAGTGCTGAAGAATGATTGAACTCTGGTGTTTTGTTTTGTTTTGTTTTGTTTTTCTCAGTACTTCATGGGTACAATGAGGACTATACATCTCATATTTCCCAAAAGAATCCCAATTTTATGAATCTTAGTCTTACTGAATGAGTCATTGAACTTGTAACAAAATGTGATTTGATATGTATGCTTTTGAAAGGTTTTCCCTAATAAATATAAATTCAGATGTCAGAAAAAATGTCCTTTGTCATCTGTTTCAATTTAGGCTTCATAAAATGAAAATGCTTAAAAAGTTATATGTTTGATCTCTAATCCTGGCCCCCTCCTTCTGGTTCTTGGCAATTCTCTGGGGTAAGAGGACCCAAGTGAAGTGAAAATAGACAGATATGCCAACTAGTTAAAAGAAAATCTACAAATTACTTAATTTCTTGGACTTAGATAGCCTCAGTGTCAACTAAGAAGAAGAAGACCTTACGGGAATGAAACATTTTGGAGAAATTTCTGTTCATGTGCCTTGGCTGATTGAACTCTAATAAAGTCAGTAGCAAATTCCCCTATTCTATTATGTTAGCTAACTGAACTCAAGGTCATTTCTAAGCAGATAATCTGCGCTCTGTCCTCCAACATAGCCCAGTGGGCTTAGGTGGGGTTATTCTTCATCAGTCCTCGTTTCTGAAGTACTCCACCACTCATGAAGTAGATTGATATAGTATATTAATACATCCATAACATTATCACTAATATCAAGAAATTAACCTTGGTTATGTTGAGATGAAACATACAGACTGTATATGGCTATGTAACCTCATATATGCCCCAAGCCTGATCACATCACCAATACCCAGTTATATACAACTAAAATGAAGAAAATGATTTGTAAAAGCATGAAACTCTTCTTTTAATACCAATTCTGCAACTACAGTAAACCATGCTTTTGAATTTGCAGTCTTTACCGCTGCCCAAGCTGTTTATGATGCACAGTCAGATAACTTTAGTTTCTTGGGGACATTACTTTTGAACATAAAGTCACTCAGGAAGCACTTATTAAGTGCCTTTGGGGCACTTGGTAGGGCCAGGGAAATAAGAGAAAAATGAGACTACTTGTCCCTGTCTTTCAGAAACACCTTCCAGCGAAGGTTTTAGAAATAAAAAATTAGAGAACTGTGAACAGGAGCTGTGAGAGCAAAAAGGAAGGAGAGGTCACCTGCAGGCTTTGGAGTAGATGACAGCCACACATTGGAGGTGATAACTGAAGTTATGTTGACCTTTCTTGGAGTTGTAACACCAAATACTCTACTCTGATATCTCCTACTTGTACTTCAATCTATCACTACATAAAAGCACCTATTCTGGGCTAACACTAGGCACAAATATCAAGTAGATCAGATCTTCTCCTATAGCCCTATATCCCTTCCCTGTCAATTCCATCAAAGCTCAGGAATATTCAGTCAGGGTGTTGGCAGGAAACAGCCTTCATTCCAAATGAGTGACACGAGGACAGTGATCATAACAAGGGGACTCCTTGTACAGGTATGAGAAATGTTAAGGAAACAAAGAATGGTCTTGAGTACCCCAAAACTAGAAACTATAGGAAACCACTGTCACTCCTAGGACTAAAGAGATAACTACACCAAATAGGTTTACTGAAGCCAAGTGGGACCTAGAAGCATAAAGAAGGGATTTTCAGGATAAACTGTATTATGGAGAGGTGCATCCATACCAGAGATACTACATAAATGAGAAGGAGCCAGATATATTCCAACCTCCTTTCCTCCTGTTTCTCAGTCTCTCTTCTTTCAGTGAGCCCACACATGAATCAGCCTGCATTGGAGACTAGGTGGTGAAGCCTGTAGCAATCAGCCTTCAGGATGTGAAAGAGAACAGAGAAAGACAGAGTGTAAGCAGTCGATAACTAGCCCTAAATGATCTCCTCTGTGCTTTATAGCTTACTTGTTTTATTTCTCATTCCACCAATTATCAAAGTCCAAGGGTACCATAATTTTGTGAAAAGCCCTGGACCTAAAGTCAGAAGACTGCTCACTATGTGAATAAAGTCAGTCTTTCTAGGCCTAGAGAAAAATCAAGGGCTTATCTTTAAAGAGGGTATTAGCCTACCTAAAGGGTTAGTGGGATCATCATATGGGATAATATATTTAAGAAATATTGTCTACCGAATAGCTTCTCTGGTGTGAATAAATTATAATAGTACATAAGATCCTAATGAGATAATTGACAATGTGAAATAGGAAGAAAAGGGCTAAATGTGTAGGGAAAGTGAGAAGGGTAGGGGAAAGGTAATAAGGGAAAAGAAACAAATAGGAGAAAATGAAAAAATGGAAATAAAATGATTGTAAATGGGGAGGGGAGGAGGGGGTGAAGGGAGGGCAGGAACAAGGGGAAAAAATGAGAACCAAGACCTGTGTCATGTAAAGGTACAAGATCCCAGTAATGAATGTAACTGTACTGTATACCTAAAATGTACCAATAAACTCAATGTGAAATAAAAAAGAAATATTGTCTCCTATTATTGGTGAGTTATTTGTGGATTGTGTGCAGGTAATATAAACTTTTTACTTCTAGTGGTATCATCCTTTAACTCCCTCCTCTCCTTTCCCTCTGCCTCTTACCCTCATCCCCAGTCTTTCCCATTTCTGAATTTATGATGAGATTTCCTGTTTTTTCTGGTTTTTCATGGAAGCAGAGACCCTGTGTGTCTTGTATATTATGGTCACATCCCTAAAGTGCCTGGCACTCAGTAAAGCACCAACCAGTATCTGTAGAAATGATACTCGGATGACTTCAAGGAGCTCCTTCCTGTCGTGTTCGTCAGTCACCACCTACAGAGGTGGCCAGCCCCTCCGAAGTGCAAGCACCCTCCCCAGAACAGTTGTGTAGGACAGAGCAGACTGAGGCTTCAAGCTCCCCCCACAATTTCTTCATGTAGTTGAGGAAACAGAAGGCTTCTGTTTCCCCACTGACATGAATCCCCTAAACAGCCAAAACCTCTTCTTTCTACTCCATTAATATTTCTTACAACCAGCAAACAAGCCCAGAGTCACGGTTTCATCTTTCTTGGATCTTTTGTTACACGAGGCTTGTGGTAAGGAAGAAAAACAATGATAAATGTAAACAATAGATCTGCTCCACCACTCAGTGCCCTGAAACTCTGACTACAATCCCCTGAGACTAAGTTAGAAAAGCAGAGAAACAAACAAACAAACAACAACAAAAAAAAGAAAGAAAGAAAGAAAGAAAGAAAGAAAGAAAGAAAGAAAGAAAGAAAGAAAGAAAGAAAGAAAGAAAGAAAGAAAGAAAAGAAAAAGAAAAAAGGCAGGGGATGTGAGCAAAAAACGAAAGGAGGCAGCACTGGAAGGGAAAGTGAAGTTACCAGAAGTATCTTTCCAGAGTGGCTTCCACCCACTCAGAAGGTGACATTAAAATCCTACAAATAAGATACCAGAAAACGGTTCAGCTGGCCTATAGCTACTTCATGTTCTGTGTGTGATACACACACGTTTCTGTCCCTAGCTTCTTCATGCTTCCACAAGTTTTAGAAAGTAAAGCTGTCATTCCTAGGCTGCCTCAGCTTTAGAACTAGAGGCAGAGAGCACTTGGGATACTCACGAGCATGCGTGAACTTCACCATCAATACAGCGATGAGAGGTAACAGGAGCACCATTAGCCCCCACCAAAGTACTTCTCTTGCCAAAACGCTGACAGGTTCCTATTGATCCTCTTGAGAACCTGTACTTCAATCGTTCTTAGGTTATTTAGCAATGAGAAACCCGTAGAACCCTCTGCCAATAAGAGCAGGGGAAAATATGTAGCGTCATCAGTTGCTCTGTAGAAGAGAGAGGTTCAAAATGGAAGTAATTTTTAACCCTTTGTTGGTTTCAAACAAGTCTAGCTCTTTTTGGTGCTCCTGTCTTCACTCTCTTCTCAATTTTAAATATTTATCTAGAACATGAAAGGCATAGGAAAACAAAAAATAATAATAAATAGTTATTTAGGTTGTTCAAGACTCTGCCTTTTCTTGTTCTCTGGAGTTCAGATTTTGCTCAGGGGTCAACGAGAAAATCACACCAAATTCCCAGGATTTGGAACTCCCTCCTCTGACTCCCCACGATGTCTGATATAGTATGTAGTCTGTATGCCATATATAGATAGCATGTAATAATTAGATTGTCCTATATTTTTTAGTTTAGGTCTTTCTTCCCTGAAACAGTTGTACCTACTACAACGGGCCCCCAAATTCTTATTGAAGAGGGCAGGAAAAATACCTTAGAGAAGATTCTGAGGGCAGCCCTTCAGTTTACTCAATCCACAATCTCTAGAATCAAGCTGTTGCTACACTGTCATCAAGAGCACATGACAAGTTGGGAAACAGCAGTTTAAGCTCATCTGAGGAGGTGGGGAACAGGCCCAGACGGAAAAGAGGAAGTAGAGGTGAGTAGAGAGAAGATTGGAGACATGGCCATGAAGTAGTTCAGGCCAAAGCCCAGATTCAGGGACTTGGTTTGCATCCTAGCTATTTGATTCTAGGCCAAATTTCAAATTGCACTGAGGCTTGTGGTCTTCAACTGTAAAAGCAAATCCTAGCATGTATTTCATGGGAGTGTTGAAGGACGACTTGATGAGACTCTGTATGTTATGCATTTGAGAAGTAGTAGAACTGTACATACTGGTTTCCCTCTCTGGTAGCCTGTATAGTGCCCCAAAAATGACCTCATCCTAATCCCCAGAACCTGTGAATGTGCTACCTGACATGACAAAAGGGATTTTGCAGATAAGGATCTTGAAATGGAGAGATTATTCTGGGTTATCTGGTGGGCCCAGAGTAATAACTCTCTCTCTCTCTCTCTCTCTCTCTCTCTCTCTCTCTCTCTCTCTCACACACACACACACACACACACACACACACACACACACACACAAATTGCGGAGTACAGAGTAGTAAGAATCACTTGGAGAGGGCTGGGGATTTAGCTCAGTGGTTCTGCCGCCTGCCTCACAAGTGCAAGTTCTGGAGTTTGATCCCAGTACCAAAAAAAGAAGAAGAAAAAAGAGTCACTAGGAGAAAACCATTTTTGATATGTATCCTTTCAGCACTTTTGCTGTAAATATGTGTGCATTACTTTTTTGGCGTGCATTTTATCAAAAAAGAGTTTCATATCCTAACACTATTTTGTAAATTCTTTTTCAAATTGATATTTCCCAATATCAATATGGAATGCATGGCATAGATTTATTAGTCCTTAAATTCTTTTTTTGGCCATAGGGTCTTGCTATATAGTCCAGGCTGGCCTTAAACTTGTATCAATTCTCCTGCCTCAGGCCTCCTGACTGGTGGTATTACAGGCATGTGTACCACGCCTGGTTAGTCCTTAAATTTTTAAATAGATTACATCAGAGCAAGATCTGAAAGAGAGAAGACTATCTCACTAAACTGGGAGCATCCAGGTGGAGCGTACCCTCCACAATCTCTTCTGGAAGAACAAGCCCTACTTTGGAGCAGTTGTCTGTCCTTGAATCTCAGGCTGTACTTTTCATGGTATCTTGTGGTTGTCTTGTTCATTATAAATCCCTTTGTGTCTTTGGTTTATTAACACCTTATTTATCATATGTATCTTGGGCGGTACTGGAGACTAAACTCAGAGCCTTTGCGCTACAGCCCTAGTCTTTTCACTTTTATTTATTTATTTAGGCAGGGTCTTGCTAAATTGCCCAAACTGGGCTCAAATATGTGACCCTCCTACATCAACCTTCCAGAGTGCTGGGATTTCAGGTACATGCCACCATATCCGGCTTATTACATGTATTTTACATGGACTCATTTGCAAATAGTGACATATCATCTTCAAAAGCCAGAAGATAAATTTTATCAAATAATGTCTTTCAATATAATATTTTATCACATTCAATAATTAGCTTCTACCGGGTGTGGTGGCACACACCTGCAATCCAAGAACTCAGGAGGCCGAGGCAGGAGGATCGCTGTGAGTTTGAGACCAGCCTGGGCTTCGTAGTGAGTTCCAGGTCAGACTCAACTACACAGTGAGACCCTGTCTAAAAATGCAAAAAAAAAAAAAAATTAGTTTCCTTTTGGCTAGTTTTGTTTGCTTGTTTTAGATACCTAAAGGTTTGTGTGTGTGCATCTGCATGCAGTGGAAGTGTGATCTGTACCATTTCAGGGGATAGGGAAAATCCTCTCACCCATCTTTGGCCAAGGTCAGCTCCTGTCCAAATGGACAGTAGACTATTATAGCAAAGAGCATGGGTTCAGGAGTCAGACAAACTTGTTCTCAAATGATCCTCTGCCATTTCCTACCTGTGTGACTGCAGGCAAACTATTAACCCCTCTAAGCCTCAGATTTCTCCAGTAGAAGATAGGGATAGTAATGATATTTGCCTCCTATGCTGTTGTGAGGGGTCAATAAAATCTGCCGTGGTAGAACTAAGAGGCGACTTGTTACTTGTTGAGACTCTGGAGCTTATCACTGCACACACCAAATCCCTATCAATACTCTTGAGCCACCTCAAATAAATGTATAATTTAAAAAAAGAGAATGGGGTTGTTGTGGACCCTTAGTCCCAGCCCCCTATCCCTGCAGTACCATCAAATTACATTCTAGAAATTTCCCCATGGAAATTCTGGAGTTGATTCCTAACATGATGCTTGTATATCACTTAGTACTTAGTATTCCTGGTGCACAGTAACTAAATGCATTCACTCGCCAGTTTACTGAAAGAGATTGTGGTTTCTCCTCTATGTATGAACGAAATAATGAAGGGTGCTGAAGATTATAACTACCTTTCCTACAAAGGTAAAAGTTCACTGTCATGTCAACTTCAATGAATTCCAATAGCATATTTAACTTTTTAAAAATTCACCAATATTCATTTAATCAAGCACTCCTAACTTTCCTTATTCTAAAAAGATTTGAAACTGCCAACTTCTAATGAACTATTTTTCTTTCTTTCTGAGACAAGGTTTTAAACACTACCAGTGTACTTTTCCATGAGTTGTCACCTGGCTTTTTTTACTTACTTTTGATTATTATTATTTTTTTTTACTTTTTGCATTTCCGACTATTCAAGTAAACATTTCATTGTTGAGAGCTGCCAAAACTTATTTTATTTTATTTTATTGGGAGGGAGTTGAGATAGGGTCATGATTTGTAGTTTAGGCTGGCCTTGAACTCACTATGTTGTCCAGACTGATCTCGAACTCATGGTGATCCTCACAGTGATCCTCCTGCCTCAGCCTCCTGAGTGCTTGGAATACAGGTGTGTGCCACTATGTCCAGCTAAAGTTGCCAAACTTTCAATTTTTCTTTTCTACATATAAAATTTTCTACATACAAAATATTTTCTATTTATGAAAATGAATAGTTTAAAACATCTCATATATACGATTTCGTGTCATGCTGTCTTCACTCATGCAAGCCATTCTCATCTCACTACGTACTTTAATCCACGGTGCTAGCGAGCATCAATGGGTACTTCACATACTCACTTCTTAGTGTTAAATATGTAAGCTGACCCAAATGCTTCTTTGTGTACCTTAAACCAGAGGGTGAGAGCAGGAGTGTTGATTGTAACCAAGGAGAGGAAATAAGGCATAGCCTGGGTGCGGACGCATGTGGGTACTCCCGTGGTTCAGGTAAAAATGTGGACCACCACAGCTGGATCAACTGAATTTAACAGGAGCAAGTGTTTCCCAGAAAGTTTCAGTGGATACACATGAACACAGGGGTTCTTCAGAGTTGGAATGATGAAGGTTACACTACATCCAGGTAACACCTTTCTCCTTTTACTCTACTTTACATCAGTTTAACACTTTTACCCTATCTTGTTTCACAAAGGACTTGGATGGATGGTCTTCCAGAAAGATACACAAAGGGCCAACATGCACATGAAGGGCTCAATGTTACTAGTCATTAGGGGGATGATTACAACAATAACGACACCACCTCACACCTATTAGGCTGGCTACTATCGAAAACACGAGAAAATCACAAAGTCGCAAGTGTTGGTGAGGCTGTGGAGAGATTGAAACCTTTGCGCACTTTTATCTATTTTTAAATTTTATTTTATTTTTCTGGTACCGGGGATGGAACTCAGGACCTTGTGCTTGCCAGGCAGGTGGTGGAACCACTGAGCTACATTCCAGCACTTTGAGCACTTTTTAATAGGAATGTAAAATGGTGCAGCCACTACAAAAATGTTTTTCAAAAAATTTGAAATGGAATTATCATGCAATCTACCAGTATCTAGGTACTGTACAGTACCAAAATAGTTAAAGTGGAATTTTTAAGAGCTATTTGTGCATCTATGTCTTAGTTAATTTTCTCGTTGCTGAAACAACATACCTGACACCCAAAGTTAAAGGAGGAAAATATAGCTTATTTGGCTCACAGTTAGTAAGAGGTTTCAGTTCATAGTTGGCTGGCTCCAAGGCAGGGTGGCGTGGCTGAGGGGTATTGCAAAGTAGTGAAGGAGCAAAGCACCAAGTAGCAAGCAATCGACAAGGGACAAGCAAGACAAGACCTTCTTTCTGTCCCTTATTTTATCCAGGCTACCGGCCCTTGGGGAGGTGGCACTCACACCCTTAATCCTAGCAGTGCCCTGTGAAACAATCCCAGCATTACACAGCATGGATCCAGACACTTCCAAAAAGCCCTACCTATGATCACATGAGGCTGTGTGGGGACATCCAGCCACAAGCCATAACAATCTGTGTTCAAAATAACATTATTCATGATACAAAAGG